TTCTCGATTGTTCTAAAAGTTTTATCCAATACTTCATACATCGCCTCCTGATTAATGACGTCACCGCCACATTTTCCGAGAACGGTAAAGGTAGATGTCGAAAACCTGAAGGTAAAATATTTGCTGAATTAAAAGCGTTAAGGTTGAAGCAACTTTTCAGTAGCATCAATATCATTATTTCTCGGATATACATAAGAAGATGTGAAAAATGATAATCAAACCAAACAAACAACAAAATAAAAACAAAAAATGTTAACTGACCGCTGAAAGAGCTTGACCTATACTTTACTTGACCAATACTGACCTGGACTGGACAGAGTAACTCAGAATTTCAACAGAGCAATCTGGTGACCCACATCCATTTCCACAGGTCAAGGACGTCAGAAGGTCATGTAGGTCTCCGACATCAGATTTTTGTATAACGCTGTCCACTTCCAGCGTGACAATCCCATGATCATTTTCTGACAAAAAAGTGCGTTTCAGACAAAGCGACCAACTAGATAGAGAGATGAGTATGTTTTCATACGCGTTTTAACTGTCATACATTACCTGTGGTATTAACTGAAAATTGCAAACATACATTTGGTAGGAAAAGGATAAAGACAATAGAAACTGCATGTGGGTTTTTTTTTTATGGGGGGGGGGGCTTTTTTTCGGGGAGTGGAGGAGAGGGGGGATCTCTACATGCATTTGTACCTACAAAGTCCTTTCCAAAACAACAATCACTAATTATAACAATTAATTATATCACTTCAGAAACAAAAGACAACAAAAAGTAATTAAGAATAAGACATTCCACATTCGTCCCATAGCAAACCTGTATCAAACAAGACAATACCTATTTAGCATTATGTCCCCAGTAATGATTTTGTGGTTTGATTTTGGTATAATACATACCTAATGCGGACCGTTTGTTAGCATGTTTCACACACGCATATCCTCCGGCAGTATTAACACATACATGGTCAGATGCGCATGGGCTGGTAGAGCATTCATCTATATCAGTAGTGCACGTGGTCCCTGTCCATCCGTCAGAACAGTGACACTCGTAGCTGGGAGGGGTGTAGTGTGCATGAAACTCACACGAGCCGCCATTTTCACACGGCATGGCGACACATAAGTCTTTGTCGTGGTGATGGTGACACATATATCCATCCAAAGTGTTGACACATTCAAGATGACTGCTACAAGGATTGCCAACACAGAAATCTTCACGTGAGCAGTCCTCTCCCGTCCAGCCATGGCCACAGGTGCATGTCGGGACACTGTTTTGAATGGAACACGTGCCATTAACACCACAGTAGGTGGCGTTGCAGGAATCACATTCATAACTTCCGGCTGTATTAACACATGTCTTTCCATCTGAACAGGGCGACCCCTGTGCACACTCATCAATATCATACTGACAGGACACTCCTTCCCAGCCTGAATCACACAGACATTTTGGGGTTTTATCAGTCACAACACACTTACCGTGGTCGCATGGATTGTAAGCACAGAAATTGTATACGTTACATTGTTTACCAGTAAACTGACCAAAGCAAAGGCAAGTAAAATCATTTATTTGATCTACACATGTAGCATTGTTCATGCAGGGAGAACTTGAACAATCATCGATGTTGATTTCGCATCCTGTACCCACAAATCCGAGAACGCATGCACAACTGTAACTTCCGGGATTATTAGTGCAGTTTCCTCCGTTTTCACATGGGGAGAAGTCACATTCATCGACATCTTTGTCACAGTTGACACCGCTCCATCCCTGTTGACAATGGCAGTTGTATTGTGCTACTTCGTCTGAACAAGTACCGTGAACACACGGATTGCTCAAACATTCATCAATATCCACTTCACACAGCTTACCAGTGTATCCCTGGGGGCACTGACAGGTGAACTCGTTCACACCGTCCACACATACTCCGAAATTCAAACATGTAACATTGGCACATTCGTCTATATCATACTCACATAATCCACCGCCATAACCATCCGGGCATTTACAGTGAAAATTTCCCGCGAAATTGATACAAGTGCCGTTGTTTTGACAAACTGTGTGTTCGCATTCATCGACATCCGTTTCACAGTGTATTCCCATCCAGCCATTCTCACATGTACACTGGTAGCTACCATCACTATTCGAACAATTCCCGTGCATGCAGGGATTTGCCACGCATTCATCTATGTCCGCCTCACACCGATGGCCTCGCCAACCACTCTGACATGCGCAGATGAATGACCCCGGACGATTGATACACGTGCCGTTATTCTGACATGCATTTGCGCTGGCACATTCGTCTTCGTCTATCTCACATCTAGCTCCGGCCCATCCGTACGGACACTGGCATATTATCCCTGTCGGCCCTTGCACTTTGAATCCGTTATTTTCACAACTCGTTATGGTAGTACAGTTTGCACCGATGTAGCCTATGGCAAATAAAAGAAAACATTCGTGATCGTGATAATGAGTATGGTTAGTTAGAAATCAAGCAGAACAAGTTCCGTGTAGAATATTTCACAAGTCAAAAGATAAAACGTTAGAAGTCGTACTCTTCTCCTTTAAAAAAAAACAAGAAAAAACCAACATGTCAACATAATTATAATCCAAAGTCAAATTCAATAAAACTAGAGCAAAATACGACCAAAAGAAATATTTACACGAAGACTCCAAAAAATGTACAAGGAAAATAAGACCAGGTGTTCCCGAAGAATAAGCGCCTTCTGCTTCATCGACGATACCCGCATGTAAATCTTGGTCAATCCAAGAGAGTTATTAAAAGGACATAACTCGGTTGTGTTCTCTGATTTATCTTATCGTGCCCACCAAGTGTCATATAAGTTCTTATAAGAACATACATTTTTTTCTATTTACAAGATAGAAAATAACTTTTATGTCAGCGGAAAAGCATAAAGGTAAAAAAAAACAGCAGTTGCATTACATAACTACTAGCTCGTTAATAAGCATATCTATGAACGTTGTAACAGGAATTCCTTTCAGGGGTATCATGTTAACAATATTCCATTTCTCAGACTTTTTAAAATATTGCCAGAGTAAAGGGTTAATTAATTAGTTTATTAAATAAATAATTAGTAAGCCTGGTTGTTCCGATGTTGCTGTCCTTGTTCTCACTTTGGAACGTGACATCACTTGCTTAGATTGACAAGATCAGTATCCGTATAAATATGTCTTTTATTCATACTCTGCCGTAGTTTTATTGAATTTGAATTTAGATTCTCGTGACATATCGGTAGAGGACAAAAATCACACAATTAATGAGAAAAATCATGGTCAGTTTGATGACCTGTATAAAAGTAACATCCCTTTTTCTTCCACAATCTCTTTATAATTGCAAACAATTGAAGCGTGAAAAAAAAGATGAAAAGAAAAAACATTTGCAACACCCGACAATATGTCAGATAAACATATATAACGTCACGTTTTAATTAGTACGCTCTATACATCTCGGAAATAAATTGGAAACAAATATGTTTAATGTTAATTAGAATATGGAAAACATGTTAAAAAACATGTTTAAAATGACAAAAACAAAAACAAAAAAGATCTTTACGTTACGAAAGTATTGATTGATTGATTGATTGGGTTTAACATCATTATTTCGGTTTTTCTGTTAACACTGAACCAACCTAAGACACCATGTCAGATATTGGGCTGCAATCCAACACAGAATATTTGTACCTGTAGGACAGAGGCTTGTGTCACATGTTTTTCCAGACCAACCGGCTTCACAATTGCAGGAAAATGATCCCGCCAAATTGCGGCACGTGCCACGGTCAGAGCACGTTCCTGGAAATTGACATTCGTTGAAATCGACATCACAAACGTCACCAGTCCAGCCACTGCGACACTGGCAACGGTAACCATGGGTTTCAGTGTTGTCGTTAGTACAATTTCCGTGATTGCAGGAATGGAAAGAACAAGCATCAATCTGGTCACAAAGTCGCCCGGTCCAGCCTCTAGAACACTCACAGCGGTATCCGTACGCTGGAACTGTAGAGTCAGTCACACAGTGGCCGCTGTTTTGGCAGGGATTGTTAGAACAGAGATCGGGAATGGAACAATGTTGACCAGTCCAACCTATAACACGGAGAAGATGGATCTATGGTGTAGAGTAGAAGATTTTGAGCTTTAAGTCTAATTTTTAAATAATATATATAAAGTTGTGCATTTTTAGTCAACATACCGACAAAAGGATGAGAGAAGCACAATTCTGTTTTTAATCTCGTACCGACAAGGTGGAATATAGTACTAGACATCCTTCATTCATTATTGAAAACAAACGTTTGGGGAGAGAATATTGAGAGTTTACATACCCGTCTGACATATCGGACCAACTCCTTGGATACATGTTCCTCGAAAGGCACCTTGCACTGGAAATATGGAACATTGTTGGGAACAGGCCACGCCGTAGTAAGGGTCTTTACACACCACCAGGCCTTGTTCATTACAGGTCTGGTGAAGGGAGGGATCAGCTTGGCATTGGAATATCTTGTAATCTGTCGATAGGCTGTCAGATACAAATGGTAAATTTAGCAAAGACAAACAATATTGTCCAGTCTGTCGGTAGACGAAAAAATACAAATGGTAAATTTAGGAGAGACAACCGTAGTTATTCCAGTGTATCTATCTGTTATTCAGTGTATCTATCTGTTATTCAGTGTATCTATCTGTTATTCAGTGTATCTACCTGTTATTCCAGTGTATCTATCTGTTATTCAGTGTATCTATCTGTTATTCAGTGTATCTATCTGTTATTCAATGTATCTTTCTGTTATTCAGTGTATCTATCTGTTATTCAGTGTATCTATCTGTTATTCAGTGAATTCTTGTTATGCAATGAATTTGTCCGTTATCCAGTGTTATCGTCATTTATTTAATGAATTCGTCTGTTTTGAAGTGAATCCATCTATTTCCTGGAGCGGTTTTCATTGAATACGTCACTTCGGAATCGATCGTAGGTACATTGAATACGTCACTTCGGAATCGATCGAAGTTACATTGAATACGTCACTTCGGAATCGATCGTAGGTACATCGAATACGTCACTTCGAAATCGATCGTAGTTACATTGAATACGTCACTTCGGAATCGATCGAAGTTACATTGAATACGTCACTTCGGAATCGATCGTAGGTACATTGAATACGTCACTTCGGAATCGATCGTAGGTACATTGAATACGTCACTTCGGAATCGATCGAAGTTACATTGAATACGTTACTTCGGAATCGATCGTAGTTACATTGAATACGTCACTTCGGAATCAATCGTAGTTACATTGAATACGTCACTTCGGAATCGATCGTAGTTACATTGAATACGTTACTTCGGAATCGATCGTAGTTACATTGAATACTAGTACGTCACTTCGGAATCGATCGTAGTTACATTGAATACTAGTACGTAACTTCGGAATCGATCGAAGTTACATTGATGTTGTGTCATTAATTGACATAAAGCAAGAAAACGGCAGCATTTTTTTTTTTTCATTTTCTCAACATTTTTTACATAAAAATTTGTCAAAATATAACTTTTCTGACATATGTGATAAACAATATCTTTAATTGGATTTTATTTCACGTGATGTTTTATGAAACTCGTTCCAATGCTTGCTCATCAAAGCTCGCAAGAAAACTCGTTTCATAAAATCTAACATGAAATGAATGCACGCGTAGCACGTATCCCTTGAATTCGCCCATATTTTTGTATAAATTTCACTAGTGTACTATATATTGGATCGTTTTTCATTGAGTGTGTCAGCTAAAAATCAAATGTGATGTCATTATATGGATAATGATGTTATGTGATGGCTTGAAAGTAGCACAACAAAATGGCTGCCTCCGTTTGATTTTGTCCTCTACACTTCAAACTTGTCAAAATCTAACTTTTCTTAAGTATGTGATAAAAAGCACTTTAAATTTGTTTTAAAATCAAACTCCTCTCGAAGTTCTAATTTTTCATCCTTAAAACTTCTAAGAATTACTTCATAAAATATCATAGTATAATTTTGGGCATAGCCTGTGTCATAGCGCATGTTTTTCTAGAATCATTGTTGGGTGTCCCAGATACAATACTTACGGTTACCACGGATTGTAAAACTCGGAAAAGTCCGAAACTACGGAGTATAACAACGAGGGTTACATGAAAATCCGGTTTCATTCGATCAAAGCTGTTTTATAAATCATTTTTATGTAAATATTATTTTGTATTCTCTCGTGAATGTGACTTTGAACGCGGTCATGCGTCTATGTGTACCTCCGGTACTTCCGGATTTGGAGATATTTTTTCAATTGTAAGTATAGATGAATTTCGTGGACTTCCATTAGCATGAAACTGTTTCAGCTTTAAGAAAGGATGTCTTGAGATAATTGATTTACAGATAAAATATACTCACGAAGCTCCTGTACGGAAGTACGCCATAGATGCGTGGTGAGTAACTGCGTGTAGTTCATCAGGGGCGATGTCCCTGGGATTAGGCTGTACCACCAACTGACCAATGATATTTTGAAAGTTGCCATCTGCATAAGCTGTAACACGGTATCTAGAACGACCCTGTAAAATTACAGGAAAACGAAACAATGATGAGTGAGAACGAAACTACTGCATAAAGTTATTCATAATATGAATTATGGCAAAGTCATCTGGAGCGAGCATATTAGTATCACTAACGTATTTCATTGTGGTAAACAAACGTAACAGATCACAATATTTATCTAACATGAAGTTTAAAGAACTCTTCATTCTTGAATATTGTATTTACTGTGTTCCTAACTATTTAATGGTATTGTCTGTTTCCAGTTTTAACCTTTCCGACAACCTCTGTAGGTTTGCCAGTCCAAATACTAATCGCTTAGACTCGTCCAGCCAGACACTTGTTTTTTTGTGCACGTGACGAAGCGTCTTGGTGAGTGAGACTATCTGTTGCTATGTCCGCCATGTTGCTATCCACCATTGGCGCAAAGCATTACAGTAAGTACGAACTTTTCTACCTTTTATTCCTGCGCACGTGCTATCTTTAGAAGCTGTTCGAGCTACGCTCGCAATTACCTGTCGTAGTTATATTGGACGCTTGACTTTTAAAACACAATACATCATTTTAGTGAGCGCATCTTAACGAACAAAAAAATATACACTAAATCAGACCTAGCAATCTACATTTATTCAAATTATATTCTAGAAATCGAAATGGAATGATGTAAGTGCCTGAAAGTTTCAGATTAATAAGTGTTCCTTAAATTTTATGAATGTTTCTCTCGACTGATAAGTCAGTTACGTGGTCCGGACGGGATATTTGAGGATGATGGCGGTGCCGATGTACACTGTACAGTAATATCGACACCCTAGTACCCATGCCTCTCACCACTATGCCTTATTATGCAGCTTTCCGCAGCGAAGTTTTTATCACAGAAATGTTGAACATCATTATAAAGTGGAAAGATGAAAACGACATTCGAGATTGATCAAATATTGATACGGACTTGATGTTGGTCGTACTTGAGAATTTGAAGCGCTTAGGCCTTTTGTCGGGTTTTCTACTTCTGGTTCCTACATAATTTCTCTTATCGTTTGTTGTATCTTAACCATGTTAAACGCTTGAATGCATTTTACACTTTATCTATAAGATATATAAATATTGATTCTGATGTCAAAGTACGATCCAAGGAAGGTGACTTTCAACGTAATTTCAAAATACCGTATTACCTGTTTTTTTCGCGGGATTATATTTTCGCTTTTTCGCGGTACATTAAAGTGGTTGTGAATATTAAGTCTGTGAAATAATGAGATACGTGTGTATAAGATATCTTTTACATCCAGATCGCAAAATTTTATTTCGTTGAAATAGCATTCGATCGTATTAAAAAAAACCGCCCCACCCCCACCCCCATTACAAGAACTACTTGTATATTAATAAAACCCCTAATATAATTGGACATATATATATCTATAACATACATTTGAATTTTTGGGAACTTGGTCGCTTCGTTGTTGGATTTCTGAAGGAGCTAAGTTTCAGCATTCTGATCTCTCAGAGTTACTTCACAGCCCCTTGGGGCAGATATTGGGTTTGAAATAAATGACATTTCGCTTTTACGCGTGCGCTAAAATTGTGTGTAGTAACACAGTAAACACGTCTCTAAATCTAGAGATCTGGAATGCCCCCACCCCCACCCCACCGCCTGGACCATGCCTTGAGTGTTTTTGACGAGTACTTACCGACCATGTTGGAATATGGATAATGACTGGATTAGACAGGTTCCCAATCGGTGAACCAAAATGGGTTTCACCATACCCCGCAGGAAGGACATTGCTGGTAAATGTTTTCACACAAGAACTGGAAGTGCTATCTCTGAAACAACCAACAAAGGTATGAAAGTTAGAAAGACGGGCTGGAAACTGTTTACGTACATTTCACGTACAGGGATATAGATAATGAAGCACTTTAAAATTTGGATACATTTATTTTTTTTTTTTTATTATTTTTTTTTTATTTTATTTTTTCTTTACATTTCTACTTATAGTAAATGTCCCTTATCAAAATCGGATCACCTTTTCACTCAATTTCATCCACGCGTGGCGTGTGTTAAAAAAAAACAAAAAACAAAAAAAAACTTTAAAAGTCTATAACCCTCTAAAACAAAGTTAAAGTTCCAATGGCTATAAATAGAGAGTATGCACTCTATGGGTCCAATGAAGGCACAACATCGGCTTGACATGCTGCGAATGAGGTGCCGTATAACCATATGTGGAACTCGTGGCAATTCTTGACGAAGACCATCAGCAAGGTAATGTCGGTTGACAGGAAGCTGCGGATGACTAATAATACGTTGTGTAATATGTCCTACGCATGCTCGATCGATTGAAGCTACTAATTCCTAATTCACATTTCTAGTTCTAGTCGAGCATTGTCGTCCTTCAGTACAAACTTAGGGCCAACAGCACCCACAAAGGGTTTCATCCCGGTACCGTAACGTGGGAGGCTACCACCACGTTCAATCAAAACTGATCGCCTGCCCAAACCATTACCTCTCACCCGTCCCATGCTAAATGTCTCCTGTCATCACGAATGTCCACATATAATTGTTCATTTTTTGTTGTTGATACCATGTGATCCCTATTGAAATGACTTGCGCCGAGTCTTCACCTCTCAAAACATGGGGATAGACATCAAAATGATTTCGATACCATTCATTGTTACTGAGAAATTGATAAAAAGATTTTCAGTAATGGCGGCCTTCATTTGCATATTGTTCGGAATCCCCAAGGATGACAGAGTGGCATCATACAGATTTTGAAAGCGCACATATCAGAGATATAGAAACAGCAAAAAAACTTTGTACGGACCGCGATGTACGCCTGATGGTGTCTGCCACCGGACTAAAACCTGGACTTACACTGACACAGGTGCCCTATACTGCCGAGCTACACGGTGACGGCGTGTGAATCAAGGTCGTAGAACGGGACTCTAATGGTATAGTCCAGAGTTGTGAAGTCTATTCCTCATTGTTTGTATAGAAATTCTTCTTCCAGTTACCTAAAGGAAGTCGTTATTCAATATGGTGGACTTGCAAACCGATTTCACCAAGTAAGACTGCTTAAATAAATATCCTGATAGGCTGTCGTACATCGTGGTCTACCGATCAACAAAGGTCATCTGGAATCTATTCGGTGATCGAGCAATGACACTCTGAAACACATTTTATTTGTCCAGGCCTCAGTTCGATGTGGTCGTCCTGTTTGCAGCATGCCGACTGTTCGTCCAGCCTCTGCAGCTGTCATGTGGCGTCTCATACTAACAGATGTTCAAATCAGGACGCAAAATGGCAAGACATTCAGAAGGAGCACAACATTTGTTAATTGATTTGACGTAAAGTCCATGCAGACTGTCAATAAAACCACAATTGACAGTCTGGTCTTAACCCAGGGTTATACGATGTCTTGTTGCACGTTTATCGTAGGTTGCACGTGCAAATCGTTACCGAAACGTTACCGTGCATACATTGGTGATAAAAAAGTGGTCAAGGAGTGTTAAACTTTATTCTTTTTGATGGCTGAAAAAAATCACATGTTCGTCATCTTTAACTTTTTGTGTCCAGTATTAATATTCGACGTATTAAAAAAAGAAGACAAAACAAAACAGAATTTCATCTCGTCTCATACATATATTCTCGCGAGAGTGCAACGCATCTATGTTTATCGTTGCTAGGAGAATCTAAATAGAAGGAAAAGATAACAAAACAAAGGAGAATTTCATCCTATCTCATACATATATTCTCGCGAGAGGAAAACGCGACTATGTTTATCGTTGCTAAGGGAATATGAATAGAAAAAAAATCAGCTGAATAATGAAATGAATGAACGCCGTGACATCGTAACATAACGGGATTCAAACTTAGCAGGTGATTCATTTTGAATAATTTTGAAGGTAAGTGACATGATGTAATAACAGAGCATTGTGTTAGCAAGGTGTCACACCAATAAAGCGAGGAATACTTACAAGTAGCAGACTTCTATGGTGATGGAACAACTTTCTTTACAACCAAAGATACCGGGGGGTTCGTAGTTTACACAGCATACAGCACCCTTTGTTTCAGTAGCCATGAGATTTTGAGGGTTGTTTAGTCCGAGTACTCTGACAGACAGGATTGTTTCTGAAGTAGCCTACATAGAAAACAATGTCATTTACCTACAGCTCAGCAAGCAGATCATTTCCGGTGTTTATGTTGGCTACAGCGAATGCACTTCCGGTCGCTTCACCCACCGAATGCAAAATGACACCTTCTGCCAGACAACAGTGATTGCATAAATGAAATGTTAATTTGAAAGACATTTTCATTGCTAAAAACGTACATGAATTAGTCTGTACGATTTTTCTCCAAAGGAATGACATTATACACATAACTGATACCTTTATCCTTCAATAGGACTCATTCTTAACGTTGATCACCTCAGAAAACACATTCCTCACAATAAACATTTGTTGTTTCCTTACAGTTCTTAAATTCAGAAGGTATCATACAATAAACATTCAAAGCTGTTCAATTCTCAACAGGTTCACTTGTTATGACTTTATTAGCATCGAAAAAATATTTACAATGTGCCGTAATCAAAGTGAATCATTTTATATAAAGGAAAAATAACTGTGCTTAGAAATAAAATTCTTACATATCAGTCAGTATTTACCCTAATAGAAGAAAATGAAAATAACCCAATTTTAAAATTAGATGGACTTGTGTTCCACTATTTTGTTGTACCCAATTGAAATGACATTCAAAGACCTGAACAAACAAGATTATTCTAGATCTAACCTGCAACAAAGTTAACACACGGGACCATTCCCGAGGTAACCTGCAATAAAAACTACAAGGAAATACCAATAGTTCAACACAATCATAATCAAAACTCAAATTCGATAAAACATGGCAAAAATTTATACAGATTCATTTCCGGTGTAACCTGCAACAAAGTGATCATACAGGGCAATTTCCGATGTCACCTGCAACAAAGTTAACAAACAGGACCATTTCCGGTGTGACCTGCAACAACGTGATCATACAGGACCATTTCCGGTGTACCCTCTAAGTTCCTGTTTCCCAATATCAAAACAATTACTGTGATACGACATAGTTTAGTATTGTCTCCCACCAGTCGTCATATTTCGGATTTGGACATCGGTACATTTCGGAGGTAGGTAAAATGGCTTCTGAACTCTCCAAGAAATAATTAGTGATACAATGCTTACTTATCTCCGACTTCATGAACCTTTCATTGCGAGGATAATATGTTCCCGACTGAATTCACATCATCATTTGTCTTAATTATTAAGGGAGGAAGACATGATTCCCGGTTGGCAGTAAACGAGATGAAGTAAATGTGACGTCATTGGTTTTGGCGTAAGGAACTTATAACAAACAAATCGTACCTGTTTTACGGCCAAACCCAACAATAAAACCACGTAAACAAACATTTCGGAATTTCCGGTTTTGCGTTCCAAGATTAATGGTCCTCCTTGAATTGTGCGCAAGAGTATGAGGCGTGGTCCGTTCTATATAAATTCTAGTCTTTCTTGATAACGATTATTTACTCCATGTGAACTGAATCAGTTGACCTGATCTAGTCCACAGGCGTCCCCGTGATAAGATAATGTTTTACAATGTAAATACTGTAAGTGACGAAAGAAGATATGACAGAGTTCGTGACCAGCTTACAACAACAGAGGAACATTATCTCTTCTTCAGATTATATTCTACATATTTTGAAAGTTTGATCAGTATGGTGCCACTTAACAGAACGTGGACACCAAATATGGACATTATGAGCAAAACACCGCAAAATGGCGGATCAGAAACGGGAAGGGGAGGTAACTCCTGTGAACTAAATTATACTTCAAAGATACGTTCCGTTGTTGTACTTGCGAACGTGATATTACTAGCGTTGTTTGAGCCAGATTTATAGTACGATTGTCGTCGATGACGCTAATTTTTCCGGAACACATGGCCGTATTCCTGTTGCACCTGTTTTATTAGTCTCCGTGTTCACATTTTTCTCTAGTTTTATTGAATTTGAGTTTGGATTATACTTATGTTGACAAAATTGTATTTCCATTGGGCAGCGAATATAAACACAAAAACAACCCGAGTTTTGTTTTTGATTGAAAATATTACATACATGAAAGAAATTAACAAATCTTAATCGGACTTAAAACCTCAATTGAAGGTTGGAGGTGAGTGGCTTGCTCTCTACTCTGTTATATAGTGTTGCCTAAGTGATTTAGAACACCTGCTGCCTGGGATAGACACTTTACCGCAATTCTCAATATAACATTCGAGACGGGCCTCCCGCATCATGTTCCAGGTGACAGCTATGGAAAGGAGGTATCACCATAAAATGACCTGTGCTTGTCACAGAGCGAGCAATTCAACAGCTATTCAATAAGCTTACTATACATTAGTTCAAAGTAATAACTTGAAAAGATAATATGGATTTTTTTCAAAATGAGATAACTGAAATATTTCAACGAAGGACATGGTAAGTGATATCAACTTATTTATTTGTTATGATGAGTTGTTGAGGATGACAAAAGTTACAATTTTCTTTTGACTGATCATTTACATATACTTAAATCTACCTGTTTGTTGTGTGTTAGAAACATTCACGTGCAAAATCGAACTGTCCGTACACCTGTACCTGTGTTATCGCCTCATATATCAAGGTAATCGTATAGTAAGTTAACACTTCGATGATAATAATTCTCCTGCAATTTTGTAAAACACTTCCATTCAGATCGTAATTTAATGTAAAATATCTAATCGTAAACTGATTTATTTTACAATATTCGGAATCTGAGACTCTCTGCAGAATCCTTATTTCACATTTCTGTTTTGTAGCACAGTGACGTAATAGTCGCCGGAAATTGTTGTTTAGAGTAGTCAATTGAATTGCAATGTAAACACTGTTATCTGGCTAAATCTGCTTTTCTCGATTTGAAATAAGGTTATGTAATTAACCGCTAGCAACCCTGTCGAAATGACGAGGATGATTATTTGAACTCCCTATCAGCACAGCTATTCAGCAACGACAAACAAAACACCACCATTAAAGGAATTCCATTTCATGTATTCAAAGCAAAGATAAATATTCGATGGTACGAAATGATTTTTTTATATAATCATTATAACAAAATAATTTGTAACAAGTATTTATAAATTATTACTGTATTTGAAATGTCGTCGTGTCTTTCCCCTTTGTTCTTTAAAGATTGACTCGGAAAAAAACTTTCTTACTACCTTAGTACATATTGGAAACACCTACATTATTGCATGTAGACCTGTCGCTGTTGTATATAACACACTAAAACAAAGATTATTGAATGTTAAAAGACAAATCCTTATACCTACATGTCGGTGACAACAATGATTTACAGTGTTATTAATGTAAGTCAACTGAAGCAAAACTTATAGAAATAACTAGAAGATTTAGATTGTCCGCGCATGACCTTAACATCAAAATCGGACGTCTAGAAAACACTCAGAGAAAAAGCAAACTGTGCAACAGTAGTAATAACGCTGATAAGGATAACTGGTTTTATTTGATAGTTACATCTCATAAAGAATTGATGGGGAATATGTAGAGGAGCATTACTTTAAAAAATCCCGGTATGTTTTAATTAAACATTTTTTGAGTGAAAATAGTATTAGATAGCATTGTAACTTGTCCATTGTATACATATCACTCTTTGTATACCATGTCGCCCACTGTATACCATCCCACCCACTGTATACCATCTCGTCCCCTGTATAACATCTCGCTCTTTGTATACCATCTCGCCCACTGTATACCATCTCGTCCACTGTATACCATCTCGCTCTTTGTATACCCATCTCGCCCATTGTATACCATCTCGCCCACTGTACACCATCTCGCCCACTGTATACCATCTCGCCCATTGTATACCATCTCGCCAAATGTACATTTTTCGCCCATTGTATACTATCTCTACCGGTGTATTCCCTCTCGCTCATTGTATACCTAAGAGCAATGTACTCTACACACAGGTCCTTGGCCTTGCGGCAGTGTTAGTCATCTAAACATTACACAGATTGTTCTTATTGGTGGTGATACAAGCCCAAAGAACGTGTTTCAATGTCCAATTTATGTTTCGTTGTTGTCAAATTACATAAGAATATCGAATTGATTTTTAAAAAATATAATATGCAATGAAAAAGTACTGAGCTTAGTCTCTAAGTTATACAAATCTCTATCAGGTTTTAGTGAATCCCTTAAAGACCTGTGTTTAACCTTCATTCCGGTAAAGTCCGGTAAGTCGGTAAAGTCCGGTAAGTCGGTAAAGTCCGGTAAGTCGGTAAAGTCCGGTCAGGTAAGTCGGTAAAGTCCAGTAGATATCATTAATGCCATTGATAAAAGATAAGTTTTAATGGGTCGATACTGCACTATTGACCAATGGAAACCTTAAGTCCGATAAAAAGCCACAGCGGCAATCGTTCCCATAGCCCGGCGAACACTTCACCAAATGCATGCAACTTGTAAGCAGTGTTAATATTACTGAAGTCAGGCATAATTCTATCTCGTGGGCGGGTAAAACAGGTAAGTTTTGTGCACTCATTCGCAACTATAAATCACCAAAATTTTGAAACGGACATTTTGCTATGTTTTGATGATAAATATATAATGTATTTTGAAAATTTCTCGTCACAAAACCACAACAACATTAGCTTATTAATAACTGAAACATATCAAGTAAAAGTATGTTTCCTATTCTTTCTTCTTCAGGGCGAGTAAGGAGATAACCGAATAAATATAGGTCTTACAGAAGAGACGAGAATAAAATGAAGGGGATGCCATGGACCCAAATGATGTGGATCGGTACATACCTGGTGTGGGTGACCGTGGGATATCCTGGATCGTGGAACTGTTCAACAGAGGTACTTGTTTAAGATAACACATCTCTCAACACTTACGGAAATTTTACAGAAGTTAAAGGTTAGGTCCACCAAACTTCAGATAATGATAAGCATCTTCATACATTGAGGTAAGAGAATAGGGGTTCGGGACAGTAGCTTGTAGTCACTCAGAAACAAAAAGGGATTTGTTTTGCTTGGGTTTTTTGTTTGTTTGTTTTTTTGTTTAAAAAAATCATATTTATCGGAATTAATATTTTTTTTTAAATATTTCTTTTTTTTATTTTTTCTCTTTTCATATTTTGTGAAATTAAAGGCTCTTTAAGCATTTGTTTGGATATCAATTGATTTCCGCCTCCAGCTGATAATGGCTTCCTGTTATAGTATTTATTAAAAAAATCATCATTTACTGACGTCTCCATGGTTTACGGTTAAACCTCGGATAAAGTTGATTTAATTGTGTTGTTGTTATACAGTTGGTCAACGTATCAAGGTGTACGGTACGGCATTTTATTAAGGATTTGCTAAATGGAAATTAGGATGATTTTCTCGATGTAATTCCAAACATAAACGAAGGTCACAATATCGAAGTGCTGCAATACATCGACAAGGTGCCTTATATAATCTAGGGTCATTATTTTGGAAGGTTTTTTAAACGCCGGCCAAGGGTGTCGCCTTCAAAAGTATAGTTAAATCATAGGTCTGATAGCATAGATGGCCCCTCTCTGCCTAATGTCCACTTCCCACTATCATCTCCCTACTCATTTCCCTGCCTTTTCTGGTCTAATGAAAGGTCGAGAGGTCGTAGTAGTGGACGTAAAACCCGTTAAACAAATAAATCAATCTAACGTTTATATTACATAATCAAGGAGAGTTTTTACTGTTTATAAACGAGGGACATTATATCGAGGTTTTACTGTATATAAACTAGGGACATTATATCGAGGTTTTACTGTATATAAACAAGGGACATTATATCGAGGTTTTACTGTATATAAACAAGGGACATTATATCGAGGTTTTACTGTATATAAACTAGGGACATTATATCGAGGTTTTACTGTATATAAACTAGGGACATTATATCGAGGTTTTACTGTAAATAAACGAGAGAAATGTGATTAATTTTTTAGTGTTTTTGCCCGTTAGTAAATCTAATAAAGTGTCGTCATCTTACGATTCATTATATAAATAAAATAAAAATAAT